CACACACACACACACACACACACACACACACACACACACACACACACACTCTCTCTCTCTCTCTCCTTAGCGAAGCTAATGTGTGAGTCAGTGCTACTCTATCCCGATGTGCTCTGCATGCTGACCATAACTGCCATGCAGCGTGAAAAGTCTCGACCTGTCAGTGCAACGCACAACTTGAGCCGCGTTTCAAACTATCGACACCAGATCTTGTGACACAACACCACACGATTAATTCTTAAATATCGAAGAATTACCTGCTTATGTTGATTCCTGACAGGTTGTTCTCTGCTGGAATAATTTTCTGCCCTTTCTTGTGTCAACACCACTAGAAAAGCATCTGCAGTGCGCGTTCAAATGCAACGCGTAAAAATTTCAGTCTTGACAGAAAATGATAAACTTCCCTACCGTTAATAGATAGGCCATTTCAGTGTACATCTCGGTCTCTTCTTCCTCTTTTTCTTCTTTCCTTTTTGTTGTCGTCACGTTTTCCTTCTTGATGTTAGTCAATCAACCTGTATCCTCTCTTAGATTGTATATTAGTGCACCGCCCAGGGTCTCATGCAGACGCTTTGTACGTACCTGCCTTAAACTCAGCTCTATTTCTGACACTGTGTAGGCGATCTACAGAGGACGGATCTGTGTGTTCTCCGATCTCTCTCTCTCTCTTTTGTCTGTGTGTGGCTGTTGCTGTCAGTGGCTTGCTACTTGAGCAAGAGACGAAGTGGAGGCAGGCAGATCTCTCTCTCTCTCTCTCTCTCTCTCTCTCCCCTTACCGTAGCCCCACCTCCTCCTTTTAGAAGTCTTCCATTCTTGCCCCCAACCCCTTTGCAGACTGCTCTATTTTTCCTTCTCTCCTTCATTTCTTTCTCACAGTCAGAACAGTGTATGAAACCTGTTATTTCCTTATCACTTGCCCCTTGATTTTGTTTGGTTAATGGAATGCTTTCATAGGCCTTGCAGACATATCCAGTCACAGTTCCTGTTTCCCGTGGACAAGGGATGACATTTAATGGCCAGATTGGATTGAGCACCACTGGGTTAAAGCTTTTTAAAAATCACTAACCTGGGAGCAAAATTGGTGTTTCTGTACAATCTCATTTGTGTGTTTTCATACGATTTGCTCATGCCTCACTGAAGGTTGGGGTTGGGGTTAAGTTTGATCTCTGCCAATTTATACACTATTTTTAACTAAAAGAGGTCATTTTGACCTTAAATTTTGACTGACTCAAAAGTCGGTCAGTCAAGTCAGTCAAAATTTAAGGTCAAAATCACCTCTTTTAGTTAAAAATAGTGTATAAATTAGAATTATTAAATGCATTATCAATTAAATTCTGAACAACTCACATCCTAGATGTCTAACAAGCCTGTTCTGACTTAAGGTCATTGCACATGGAGTCTGAAATTTTCATATGCGTTTTTTTATTTTTTTCCGGATTCGTCATCCTTTCCTACCAAAATGCTTGCTACGAATGCGAAAACGCAGAAAATCGAACCTGATCCTATTGTTTTATGACGGACGAAAGTTTCGGAGGCAGTGTGTAAACGTGATTGACACAACGTGAGGTCGTATTTATTTTTTAATGTGTGAAAATTTCAGACGAGAATTTCGGACTCAGTGTGCAAAGACTTTTAATTGTGCTATACCTTTTTTAATGATCAAATGTAGCCTATGTTTTTTCCAGTGCAGAATTTCATAAATCACACAAAAATCCTGTAGACCTCCATTAAACATTTCTGATTTTTTTTTTCTTTTAGGTAAGACTTTGTCAAGCCAACATTCGAAGCAAGTCTTAATGAATTTTCCTTTTCAAGATACTGTTATATCAGTATAAAGGCGTGCCGACCAACTGTATGATTAAGTTTAAAATCCAGGCACTGCGTTAGTCTATATGAGCCATACATAGTCAATGCTACACAATATTTTCACCAGGCATGCTGTATTAAATTTCAATGAGAGAGCGAGAGGGGAGCCTTTCTCAATTTAGAAGCATTTCACAAGTTTTCTTGTGATAATGAATTTTTTTTATTCCCATCTCTGGCATGATAAATGGATGTGTCTATGGCATGTCTACAGGAATATCCATTATGCGGTGCCGTGACACGACGCTTGGATCGGCGCTGTAGAAAATGCTCACACGACCAGCTTTGACATCAATTAAACAGCCTTACAGCTCAGGGCCATGTGGAGCAGCCAAATGCTCGTCTCCGCGAGGACACATCACCCTGGAGGGCCAGATCAGAGCGCGGGAGGGATCACAGTTCACTAAGTCCCTTTCTGTGGCCAAAATGGCACAATGATTTGTCCTGTGCCAGTTGGAGTGTGAGTGTTTGATCGATAACCCATGCTTTGTCATCATTATTCTGATTCTATTTAAATGGATGAGAGGAGGCAGGCAAAGAAAAGAAAACGGGGTGGTGGAGGGTGTAATATGAAGCGTGAGTCTGAAGACTGAAGAGCGTGGAAATTGAATGGCAGTGGATCCAGGGCCAAGCTCTTGAAGTGGCAGAGTTTTATCCCAGGGCTCTCCTATAACCATATGTCTGCTTGTTGCTTGCGCAGATGCTGCTCAAACCAGTTATTATTTGACAAGTGCTACTGGCCAAAATTGACCGGCCTGGCCTTTTTGCTATTACATTTTAGAAGTGGTCAAATGGCTGATCATGACTCTGTACAGGAGAAAATGATTTCTGGGGGCCAATGAGGCTAAGCTGCTGTCTGCGATCCTCGCGGCTCCCATTTTCCATTGCTATCATCTCGAGCATGTAATTTCAAAACTTGTAACAACACAGTGGGCTTAGTAATCAAAGCTCTTACGGACGTAACACGAACAGCAGATGAGGTTCCGATCTGTGCCAATTTCAGGGCTTGGATATATATCACATAAAAACAATCAACAGAGCGTCGTATATGACAGGCTGAGACAACAGTGACAGGACAGAAAGCCATGTCAGACGTTAAATGTGAGAGATATGGTGCCCTAAGGAAGCAAAGCAGGCTATTTTTCAGACAGACAATTAAAAAGTGGGACCGAGCACGTCTTTGAAATGCTGTTTTTCTTAATAGTCAAGTTGACCCTTGCTTCGCATGGGCACATTTCAAAATAGCTGACATGACAGAGAAGAGAACATGGGTCATTTACACAAGCACAACAATGGCTAACAGTCTCAGTAAGCTATGGGAGGATGGGCCTTTTTATGCAAAAGTGAACATTTTGAAAATATGCAATGCATTTTTACATACGGACTGATCATAATGTTTTTTTTTCCTGCTGTAAACATAGTGGTGTATAAAAATATTCACTTAGAAATTTCTAGTAAAATTCACAATTACAAAGAAACAGCAACTAACACATTAAATGTGAAACTTTGAAGTAGAAAGACTGACATGGTATTTTACTATAAAACATACTCCAATAACTTTGGTTTTATTTACAACTTGAATTGTTTATTTATTTATTTATTTTTACAGTGTATACATTCATGAACTACGTCATTCCAAACTCTCGGGTTACGTTTTATTTCACATGATCAATTATTTGTAGACGTGCAAATGGTTATCTGCATACAAAAAGAAAAAAAAAAGTTAATTATTAAGCACTGACAAAAATAAGAGAGCTAAAAAGAAAACAATTTTTGAAGAAAGGTTTAGTGATGGGAACATTATCAAATGTGTATATTTGTTTGTGGCTAAACAGTTCCCTCATTCTTCTCTGCCTTTACAGGCATGACACCATAGTGAAAGTGTCTGGATTCGAATCTGTTCCCTCTGTTGACATTTGATGTTAAATTTTCTTCTGGGTTGGAAGGACAAGTGTGGCAGAGACAGAACTCATGCATCAGAGACTGGCTGGAGAGAACTTCTGCATGATGGATAAAGCTGCTTTTTCTCCAATCAACCTCCTTGACTGAGTGCTGGGTTGAGTGATGTTGGGTTGGGGTATCGGTTTGGTTCTGTGACTAAGATAAAAGAGCCATCTCATCTGACTCATGGCCCAGTTCAGATTGCTTTTCCTTTTCTCACTGAGGATGCATCCTAGGTTATGGCTGCTGATGCTGATCGTACTGCGAGGAAGCTGCTCTCGTTTTCTTAAAAAATACTTTCAGCCGAATACTGCAACCTTCTTGCTACATTGCAAAGATGATATTTTGATCCTGGCAAAGCTGAATCAATATACTTGTTAAAGACTTGTTATTGTGTATGAACATTCACAGATTTCTGCAACTGAAAGTCATTCACACTCTTTTCACACTTCAGATTTTGGGATGTTTCTCTATGTCTTTAAAAATTCTAAATTATCCGACACAGAAAGTAGAATTGTTTGAGGTAATTGGGTGGTTTTGTTTTGGTTTTCGGAACTTTTTTCATATGTAAGTGATATTGTGGAAAAATATTCCAATTACAATTTAAAATGACTGTTTATATATATTTCTCTACAGTGGCCCAGTAGTGCACAACACAACGCAATTAAAAAAGGAAACAAGCTCACAACACAAGGACATTAAGCTCACAACACAACGACGTTAAGCCACAACACAACGACATTAAGCTCACAACACAACGACATTAAGCCACAACACAACGACATTAAGCTCACAACACAACGACATTAAGCCACAACACAACGACATTAAGCTCACAACACAACGACATTAAGCGTTGTGTTGTGGCTTAATGTCGTTGTGCTGTGAGCCTAATGTCGTTGTGTTGTGGCTTAATGTCGTTGTGTTGTGAGCTTAATGTCGTGCTGTGAGCTTAATGTCGTTGTGTTGTGAGCTTAATGTGGTTGTGTTGTGAGCTTAATGTCGTTGTGTTGTGAGCTTAATGTCGTTGTGTTGTGAGCTTAATGTCGTTGTGTTGTGAGCTTAATGTCGTTGTGTTGTGAGCTTAATGTCGTTGTGTTGTGAGCTTAATGTCGTTGTGTTGTGAGCTTAATGTCGTTGTGTTGTGAGCTTAATGTCGTTGTGTTGTGAGCTTAATGTCGTTGTGTTGTGGCTTAATGTCGTTGTGTTGTGAGCTTATGTTTGCTTTTTGAATTGTGTTGTGTTGTGAGCTTATGTTTGCTTTTTTAATTGCGCTGTGTTGTGCACTACTGGTCCACCATATTTCTCTTTAGGATTTTGGATGAATAGAAAGTGCAAAAGAACAACATTTGAAATACCAGTGTATATGCCTACATATAAACCAATTTAAAAAAATAAAACAACCTTGAGAAATATAAGTGACAACAAGCTCCTCTACCCCAGACTGCTCTATTTGTCCGATTTGGCCCACAGCTCTACTGATCTTGCCACCGTCTCATACACTGTCGTTTTGCAGGGCTCATCTGCTGCCCCAAGGCATGTCAGCAGGCCGTGCACTCTTTCACAGACAGCACTTTAGTATCCTTCCAAAAGTAGCCTCGATCATGTATAGCATGCAAAATTACATGCATTCTGTAAGCCCTAACAAGTGAAACTATCAAAGTAAAACCACATTTATGGCCAGCTAATGGTGATGATAAAAAAATGGCTCAAATGTTTTGTGGATATGAGGATATTGTACTGTTAACATCCTTCTGACAATGCGTTATTTTTTTGCATACCTGGTCAGAATATGCACACGGTGCAGTTACCATATATATCATAGCATTTTTAGTCAGTTCAGGATTTCACACATACTCATGCTGTGCTACAGTAGCTCAAGGGTTAGATTTTGTCAGCCGTTTGTGAAAATGTGATACTAATTTG